CCGGAGTAGGACCACTACCATACTTAGGTGGATGTGATGACAATCTCCTAGATCCTGTAGATTAAAACACGGGAAGAGTAACCCCCTCCGGCAAAGGAATGGCGGCGGACTTGCGTTAAATTCCAGGATGAGTACATTTTCCAATCTTCTACCCCGAACCATCAAGCCATAGTATTAAATCTAACTCCAGACTTAATTCAAATCTCAACCCTAGCTTGATCTTTTGCACTGGCCTTTACCCCAACCATAACTCTAGCCCAAAACCACCCGTACTGGCCGCGTGTTTTCCTGCATACTGATCTCAGTAGATGAAACAGCGACACCTGGCGCTGCGAAAAATGCTCGAAACGGCAAAAATCTATTTCAGTTTCACCTTTATTGCTTCCTATTGGCTATATTTCCCATTGGCTACGGATCTCCTCCGATTCAGCCAATGGTGTTTTACGCAGATACTTCTGATTTGTCGCAGGTTGCTTTTTGTTGATTTTTCGATTATAACGCGCTTTTTACTTGCTATATATTGGCTTTCTACAATACTTTTATCTACTATTTCCTGTTTCTTGTTTGTTTTTGTTTATTTTCTCCTATTACCATCGGTCCCCTACTACAGAATGATGGGGTGCTTGGTTTCCGTGGAACAGTTCGGTTAAGTAGACCAAAAGCCAACCGACCATCAATAGTCGCGATTGCTAAGACTGGGACTGTGTTCGTTTGAACTTTCGGATTTCAGCTCGAACGGATCTTTAGAGACTACATCAGATCCGGGTGAGTTTTACAGAGGAAAGTGCAGTTGCCATACTTTCTCATAGACAATATAGTTAACGGCTCTCCCCCTAAATCGAGGACGATTGCTCGCTAGTTGAATAACTGCTTGATCTCCAGCATACGGACCGTTTCTGCTGACATTTCACCACTCGTTAGCGTGATGATTATTTCGCCACCTGGTTCACCGACCAACTCTAAAAGTCGACACGCACTCTGAGCTCATTATTATTATTATTATTATTAGTAGTAGTAGTAGTAATAAGGAAACATATCCCGTCGAGAAAATCCCGGACCGTCGCTGTCACCGCAACGCTAAGCGTATACCCCTTCCGAATAGGAAAGAAGCATTCTGTGAGACAAAATCGGACTTTCGGATAATTATCCGACAGAATTATCGGTGCAGATGTCACGAGCAAAAGGTCCAGTTAACCAGTCACCATCTAGTGGCTTCATGCTCGGCAGCTGGTTTCGGGGAAGTTTTATCAAGTTAAGTAAACAAGCAAGCGTCAGGACAACCTCGGAGCGCCCTGAGTTGATTTCTAAGATAAAGGACACCGCAATATATGCAGCCAGAGAAAACCAGTAACATTTCACTGTCTAAACCGAACAGAATTCTAAATAGAGAGGCTTAAGGCGATTATAATGTGGACGGTCAGTCCTTTAAGAAAAAATGAACCTACATATTTCGCTCACAGTGCTGACTATGAATACCATTTTAAAATGTGCTTGCATCATGGGAAAAAGAAGTCGTGAGCAGTATATAATCCTTCAATAATGATGTTTCCACTAAAATCGAGTGATTTTTCGAGATTAAAGAGGAACAAACGTGAGGAAAAGGTGACATAATTGACATGGCAACTGTTAAACTATCATTAAAATTAGTCAAATCAACGGGGTATCAGTCCGTGACTGTTTAGTCAATATCTGACCAACTGAGAGATAATAATCCTCAAAAACTCGTCCGTTCGGTGGCTGGTTAGAATGGCATCGAACTTTAATCAGTTACCACAGAAATCGTGCGCTGCTCGACCTTCCTGAACTAAAAGTCGGCTCAAGTTGAGTCAGGGCATATACAGCCGACACACGAAAATCGACAACGGCAGCGATCAATAACGTTAACAAGGATGCTGGGGCCAAAGAGTTTGATGTTATAAAGCCATTTATCATATTTGATCCAGCCGTCTCGATTACACTGGTTAACAACATCACGGATGAGTAGTCCCAGTACAACGCGCGCAGTCGTCCGTATTCGGTCTCGCACTTGCATTGGACAAGTGAAGGTCGTTTCCGAATGACCTTGAAGTAGAGCGCATAGAGCAATTCTACCGCTTGCTGAAGACGTCAATTAAAACAGAAACACTCGATGCAGCATCGTTTGTTTTTGTCAGAATATGCATCCAGTTTGTTCTGTCTCCTGTCAGAACACTTTTAGACGTAAAAGACTGTAAAAATGGTCTGTCAACATTTTTCCCACGTGTTCCTTCATGTGTGGGCTGAGTAAACCGAGGAAACATGTCGACTACCATGTCGACGTACATGAAAAGCCTGAAGGGCGAATCGCCGTTACTGGGGTGACGAAATCCTCCGGGATGGTGCCGAATAGGGCTACATAAGAATTGAATTTAATCAGCCTGAGAGAGTGAGTCATCAGTTCGAGTGTGCACTTGTGTGCCAATGCGATGGGCTTCACAAAGTACGATTCAGGCAAGTATTTATCAGAGGGGACAGGGAAAACAAGCCGGAAAGGCCCTGACCACCAATTTGGTGACAAGCAAATGTCTGACTACTATTCAACCGTTGCCACCGTCGTCGCTGCGTAGGCAGTCCAGTTGCCAAGAAAAAAGAACAGAAACGTGCACTTTTAAAGCCTGACAACCCCAAAATGATCAGTAGGCAGAAATTACAATTCTGGGCCGCAGGGGTGCGGGGGGAAGAGCCATTCATGTCTTCGCATCCATTAATTACACGTGTGTAAACAGTTCACTCCAACAATGACCGTCAGTAAAGTTGACAGAGATGCCCAGAATCGAAATCATGCCATCTACTGTCCTGGCAATTATTCCGAAATTCTCCGGTGTTTTTTGGTAGAATCCACTGAGCTGTGCCAATTTTACTTTACCGGAAGTGGAATAATCCTTTATGTCATTGGTAGTACCTGATAAATATTGGCTTATTTTAAAGTAGCTAGCAGCCCCAGAAAGCGGCTCATTCGACGTGACCCGACCGCACATTCAAATTTGATGAGGCCGAAATTCACGGGCCTCCAATCCATAAACAAGTGCAACGATTTGCCCAATCCATATTCGGTGTTGAGACTCAATTTGGCCAAAACAAGTCACCACTTGGGGAACGGACAGGCCACCGCGTCATCCTAGGCTAGTACCGGAGGGCCAGATGGCCTAGCAATCATCACGCCCGAGTCCACGCGCGATGAAAGTTCAGCAGGTCAGAGCCCGCATGCCGTTCAACAAACTGTTAACACGCAAGAAGGCAATTACCGTTAATTGTCGTTCTATGTTTGCAGTAATGACTGTATCCTACAAATACTGCAAACTCCTGTGCGTACCCTACCCTTATCTGCTACTGCTCTCTGCTTACGTCTCTGTTGATGAATCCGCGACGGATCTCGAAATATCGGGCGAATAAAAGTATTGTTCCAGCAATCGAGTCGTCTACTTCTCAATAACTTCCTGGGACTCGCATAATCGCTTGTATTGGCAGTTATTACTTATGTCTTGTTTAGTGTCTGAGACAATTAATGCGCCAGCTTCGAGAACATCTTTCGGGACGGATCTTTCCAGAAAGATGATATGAATAGTTGAGCAGACATCCAGATACTGCGGTATAACCGTGTTATAAATATAACAGATAAACATATTATACAATAATGTAAATGTCAGATAAACGAGATCAACTTAAACTGCAGTTTATGTAATATAAACCACTGAGAACACTGGGGGACACACTGATGAGCCGAACTCCTGTGCTGTCAATGTGGTAAATAATAACGTAGTCATTATTTACTCATATGAGGAAAAGGCAAGTACTGCGCGGCACTTTGCATTTTTGTGTTAAAGGTTCGTTAGATCAAGCTGTATAAAAAATTAGCTTTGATAAACCAAGAAAATGACTTTCGCGGTGAAGGACTGTTAGTAAACGAAATAATCCGAGCAATACATGGAAATGCTTAGGGGGGCACTAGACTGACGGAATCCTTGTTTGTTTCAGTCTCGCGGGTGGTCTACACTTGAAGGTTTACTCTTAATATTGATAGTAAAAACGTCTTATCAGATCTCTGCTATCCACTCAAAGTGTAACTTAGCTCTCGATTTAAGGCGTGGTTTGTCAAGTAGGTTAGAAAAGGTCGCATTCACCATCGATTTTGCCACATAGCATGAATCGAACAGGCCAGAAAATACCAAACGATGGCAGTTAGACGTGTTTTCCACACCATAAATTGTTGACTAAAACGGTCAACTGTTAATTTGACCAAAATGATTACTAAAATGTCCACAAAAATCTCTCCCCATGGTTTGATATGCGGTCTGGTGTCCGACAGGACTGCGTCCTGTCGCCCATCCTGTTTAACTAAGTCATTTCAAGGAAAGGCGTCCTTGACTGGATTCTCGGGAAGGCCCTACATGAAGAGGACGGCGTTGAGCTTACATCCAAACGCCGGTAACTGGCCTTGACTATGCCGATGATATTGCACTGCTAGCCTTGGTCTTTGGTGGTCTACAGTCTGTAGTGTCGCGGGTAAATGAGATCGCATGGTGGGTTGGCATGTCCATAAATTCCGGAAAGACGAAGTTATTCTCGAGCTACATCCCTGACCAGGAGAAGGCACACCTGGGGATTAATGGCCATCACCTTGAAAAAAGATGCAGCTTTAAATACCTCGGGGCGAGACTGCTACCGAATGGTCAGAGCAAGGGCGACATTGTCTTCCGTATCCATACTGCTCGCTGGATTTTCTCAATCCTTCGAGAGCGCCTATGGATCCAACGCTGCATCTCCATCGCCAAGGAGATTCGTGCATACCGTGCATCCATCCGGTCAGTCCTCCTCTATGCATGTGAATGCTGGGCT